AAGTGTAAAATATAAATGAGCAATCTTTTATTTTCAAATAAAACCATGTAGTGTTTGACTTTAGGTATATCTGTCGATCTGAAATAGCAAATATAGTATCTTTCCATGTCCAGTCCTAGCAGTTGTGTTCTTCAAGTGGTAAGAGCTTTGTTTATTCTTTGTGCCATACACTGAACTAAACTTCAGGGAATGTTAGGATGTAATGAGAAATAAGACTGAGAAGAAGAGTGGGCCCTTGATAATTGGATAAGAAAGGTTGGATATGGTAAGTATAGAGTTGGTGTCTTGTTTAGGTTCTTGGGTGGGATGGTAATTTGCTTATGTGTATGTAAGGGCATGTGTGTTAATGAGTTTTGTCAACTTGACACAATCTAGAATCACCTGGGAAGAGCATCTCAATGAAGGGCTGCTTAGATCAGGTTGGCCTATAGGCATGTCTTTGAGGGATTATCACTGATGTGGGAAGATATAGTCCACTGTTGGCAGCACTATTCCCTAGGCAGGGGATCCTGGACTATAGAAGAAGCAACTGAGCACTAACAAGCATGCATGTATTCATTTCTCTCTGCTATTGAATGTGGATGTAACTAACTGCTTCAAGTTCCTGCCTTGATGTCCGCACAGTAATGGACTTTAACCTGGTACTGTAAGACAAACCCTTTCACCCTTAAAGTTGCTTTTGGCTCAGAAATGAAACTAGGGTAGAGCAATCACATGCGGAAGCCAGAGGACATCAGGTGTTTCTTGGCCAAAAACAAAAGCAGAAAGGTAGTAGAAATCTAGCCACTGGAAAGGACCTACGAGTTTTGAGTCCATTACTGGAAAATAGTTTACTATATACAGGAAAAGATGATTGTGTTGTGCCCACACAAAGCCCATCAGCATTAGAAATGGAGGAGTTACTGGTATATACAACAGCATGGATGAATCTCAAGCTCATAGACAAGGAAGAGAAGCCAAGAAGGCCAATACTAATTCCATGTGAAGTCTGGAAACATAATGACAGAAACCAAATCAGTAATTCTCTGTGGACGGAGATGAGGAACTCCCGAGGATGAGGAGGAAAGTTTTGGATGATGATTATTATCTTCTAATTATGTATGTATATGTATATAGGGGGATTTTTATATTGACTTACAGGCTAGAGGCCGAATAGTCCAATAGTGACTGTGCCACACTGGAGAGAGAGGCTTAGAATCCAGTAGTTGCTCAGTCCACAAAGCTGGATGTCATGCAATGCCTGCAGAGATCAGAAGGTGGCATCAGATTCTAGAACCTGGAACTGGAGGTACAGGCAGTTGGCGCCATGCAGGTGCTGGGAATCAAACCCAGGTCCTCTGCAAGAGTAACCAGTGCGCTTAACCACTGAGCCATTTCTCTAGCCTCCAGCAAATGTAAATTTCTGTACTTAAATGAACCATGAACCAGAATGTTTCCTATTGGAAGTTTCTGGCAAATGCAGGCCTCAGAATTTCAAAATGAAGCATACATTGTAAGAAGTGACAAACCAGGTAAGAAAAAAAAGTTGAGTGCCAGGTGTGGTGGCACATATCTGTAATATCAGCATTCTAGAAGCTGAGGCAGGAGGATCTCAATTTCAAGCCAACCTGGGCCAAATAGTTTCCAGAGCAGCCTGGGCTACAGAATGAGACACTGCCTCAAAAAAACAAAACAAAAAACCTACCCAGAGAAGATGTGAATCATTTCTAATATGGATCAGATGAAAAAAGATGACATTCAGAATTGCATTGTGCAATGCGAAGCCATTTTAAATTTACATGATATTTAAAACTTCTCTGGTCACATTGGTCTAAGTGCTCTATAGCCTCATGTGTTAAGTAGCTACCACACTAGACCAAGCAGATCAGAACGAGTCCATCCTTGCTAATGCTGGCATGGACATTTATCCTCACACCAACCTGCACATATTTGGTAATGCTGACCAGTATTCACTAAGAAGCTGGAATTAAAAAGTGATGGGTGCTAGGTGTAGTGGCACACGCCTTTAATCCCAGCACTCGGGAGGCAGAGGCAGGTGGATCTCTGTGAGTTCAAGGCCAGCCTGGTCTACATAGTGAGTTCCAGGACAGCTGGGGCTACAGGAAGACCGTGTCTCAAAAAGACCAAGGCGGGGTGGGAGGGGGAGAGGAGAGCGTTTTCTACAGCTAAAGTAAATACTTGGAGTATCAACACTGACCTTTCATATGGAGTATGAACCAAAATAATGTTGGAGCCATGAGAGAAAGATCTGTCATTAAGGCAGGAAGATGTGTACTGGGTACATTTGCTGCCCCAGAGACTGTTGAAGGAAAAGTTATTGAAAAGGGACAGGTCCTTGGATGTGCAAACATCCAATGTTGTACTCAACCTGGGAAGGTAAGAAACAGAGCCAGTGTTGCTCTAGAGGAACACTGCTAAGTTAGACATTTATAAGAACATACATGTATCTCTGTATACTCATGTCTTCAGGCAAATGATAGGATGAACATAGGATTCAGTCACCCATCTCACAAATGTTCATTGAGGGCCTTTATGTGCCAAAGCCAAGCTGAACAAGTAGGTTCATTGTAGAAAGCATCGGGTACCCTAGCTCCCAGTGTTTAGAAAACTTGTAAAGGATAACATTTTCAAATTGGCTCAAAGAAATTAGGCCAGAGGAAAAGATTGGCCCAATATGTGGATACATGATATGATTAAAGTAGGGAGGACAGTGTTATTTGTTTCTCAACTTCTGGAAAGCTTAGACAGACCTGGTTAGGAAGAAACTGTACCTGAGATAGGGTAAGGAGATAGATGGTGGTGCCTGGGAGACAGCTGCCTCTGGCTATTGCAGAAGGTGGTCTCCTTGGAATTGGACCTTTGTAGCATGGCAACAGGGCTCAAATAATATTCCTATGCACCGGAACCATCCCACTTTTGAATTTAAGGACTATGGAGAAGGCTTATGGGAGTCAAGGACTCTCCAAGCAGAACAGTCTAGAAGCTGATAGGAATCAACGTCCAGGCTGAGGTGACTGAAACTGAATGTGATGCACCCTCTGGAATCATTTCTGCATTTATATGGAGAGATGTAATTTTTTTCCTTTCAACCCTTAGCTTCATGCTGGCTAATCCCTTCAGAGTCAGCTCCGCTGCTACTAAGATAGATATGCAAGAAAAAAACAAGAGCTGAGTTTATCTTCTGAATCTGTGTGTTTGGTTTTCAGCAATCATCAATCTCTGAGCCATGATTTTCTTAAGTAGACTGTGGTGCACAGTGACAATTAGCATTTGATAGGATGAATTCTATCTGCTGCTGCTTGTCTTCCTCCTTCCAGTTTTTTGTTTCTTTGTTGAAACAAAGTCTTGTGTAGCCCAGGCTAGCCTAAACCTCCATAAGTAGTCAACTAGTAGGGCCTTGAGCTGCTGATCTCCTGCCTTCACTTCTCAAATGCTGGGATTACAAGTATGCACCATTACTTCCATCCTGGATTCTAGCTTCTTGTAGACACTGATAAACAATGAATGCATTTTCCTCTTCTACAACTGAGCAGAAAGTAGGGTTAGAATGCAGAGTATGTCTGTGTGCCATGGATGATGGTGGCCATGGCATTCCAAGTTGGAGACTGTCAGCAAGTGGCTAGTAGAGAACCCCAGATGCTGTTGGGAGGGGTCTGAGGTATGCTGCAGTGGCTGCTTCCAGCTGAAGTTTCTCTATACTGGAAAACTTCCATCAGGTAACAAAATTATGGTTAATATTTGCATATTTCTGAAGAAGAGGAGTCAGAGATGGGACAGAATAAAGATGGATTTCATAATCTGTAAATCAAAGATCTCTGAGAGATTCTAGAAAGATTATTCAACAAGTGAGCTGAATAGCTTATGACAAAAGTTTTACAAATGAATTTACTAAATCATAGAAGAAAATCTACTCTGTTAAAGAATTTTGTAGATTAATACTTGAGGCAAATGCCGAAGTCATGAGATAACACTTTCTCTGAAGAATTTGGGGGTGGGGGGGCTTTTAAGTAGATATCTCAAGGACAAGAGGAAGAAAAATGGGACAGAGAACAATATAGTTGGGAGTTGATCAGATCTATAATTGTGCTGAATAATGAATGGTTGTCCACAGGGAAGTCTCGGGTAACAAATGATAGAAGGGCATAGTCTTGGCTCTTGGTCTGTTCAGCCTTTGTGAGGTAAAAACTCACAAGTACAGCACACCAGTTCAGAGGATGAGAAATCAGTCTTCAATCAAGAATAGGAAAGCTGGGGTAATCCTGTGTCATAATTGGAATAACTAGCAGCTTGAACTGCACACAGCACACGGATCTAGGTGGAAGGGTGGCCTCATAGCATGTGAAAAATGACAGGAATCGGTAGTTGTCCCATCGGTGCATGTCCCAATTAGGGGGATTCCAAACTATATAAAAGCTACGCAAAGCATCGTGAAATCGGTGTCCAGAATGAAGGTCTTGACTGTAATGATGGGGAGTTAACACTAGAAGTGTGTCTAAGCACAGAGGTCCAGGAAAGGGGTGGCGAGGTCACAGATCAATGAGGAATGGAAGGGCTCACCTCAAGACCAAGGACCAGTGGGGCCATTTACAAGTAAGTCACTTGTACAAATCCAGGGAGACTCAGGTTCAACCAGTGTAAGGAAGTGGGAAGGCGGGAAGCTGGGATACTGATGGAAGGACAAACTCCAGAGTACCGAGGGTGTCACGCCGCTCCCCGCCGAGAACGTTACGCTGTTGGCATCCATTACATTTGCAATACTTTTCAGACAGAATGGGAGGTCACCAACCTAAGTGAAACTTCCAGCACTTCCTATCCCGGGTCGGGCCATTCTACGAGCTCAGGTCTGCTCTTTCCCGGCGTCTCCAGGCCGCTCGGGGCCAGACCTGCACCAGGGCAGGGCCAGGGGGATGGAAGGGCTTAAGGACTCAGCCAGCAGAGCCCGCGGGCCCAGAGGCAAGGCGTCCCAGGCGTTGCGTGGCAACTGGCCGCGCCTGCGGAGTGACTCAGAGGCACGCGCTTCCGGTGTTCCCAGGAAGTCAAGCGGCTTCAGGTCCCGCCCCAGTCGGAGGCGGAAGTGGAGCCGCAGGAGCTGAATCGCGTCCGCTGTGCCTCTCCCCATGGCCGCCTACTCCTATCGCCCGGGCCCCGGCGCCGGCCCTGCTGCGGGCGCCGCGCTGCCGGACCAGAGCTTCCTGTGGAACGTCTTCCAGCGGTGAGGCCCGCGGCCCGCCCTCCAGCCCTGTACGCCCTTCCCCGGCCTCCCTCGAAGTCTCCCCCGGGGTCCCCTCCATCCATGGCTTCCTCTTCTGCAGTAGGGCCAAGGCTCAGGGTGGTGCTAATGGTCCTGGTGATCCTGGTGTTCCTTGTGCTCCGGGCTAAGGCCGCGGTGCAGCCGCCCTGCACGGTCTGGGGTGCTTACGTTAGGAACACTATAGATCTTGTGCAAGGAAAACAGCAGTAGAAGGGCTGGCGACTACCTGGTTGTCCTTCTGAGTGCCTGACTCGTTTCAGTGACTCACGGCCAAAGAATGACATAATTGTCCTAGAAAATCTTTTTCCTGTTTGCAGAGAATCTAAACTGGTATAGGTGTAAATCTAGACAGACTGGAGGAACCCAGGAAAAGCTTGAGATTAGGAAATAAAGAAAAGATGATTCAGCCCCTTGGAACAACTTCGGTTGTTTCTCTGGCTGAGCTAAGTGAAAGGTTAACATTACAGACCTAGTGTAGGTTGATGGAAGTGGTGCTTGTTTTGCTTTTCCTTTACTTTTCATCACCAACTTACCTGGTCTTTTTGATTTTTGTAGCGTTGATAAAGACAGAAGTGGAGTAATTTCAGACAATGAGCTTCAGCAGGCACTATCCAATGGTGAGTTGAAGCCTGATCCTCTGCAATATGTAATCACTTTCCTGGAACTTATTTCCGAGTTAAGTGATCCTTAAGAGAAAACTGCTGTTACCAGTACCTGGTGGAGGTGTTTCTGAGTTACTATTTTCCTAGTTATTACCTCACCAGACTTCAGAACAAATGTGTGTGAGCCTCAGGAAGTGCTTCCTGAGAAATGGAAGCTGAAGTTTAGGCCTCAGAGGTGAAGAAAGGAGGTTAGTTTTGTGCAGTAGAGAGTGCTTAGGTATCTTGTAGGTCCTTGACTTAACTTGGGTAAATGAATCTTAGTGACTCTATCAAGGGCACCGAATGATTGTCAGGTAACACGTAGAAGTAATTGTTTCAAGATGGTCCATGAAGTACTTCTGTGGGAATGTGTTTGCTCTAAGAACTGCTAAAACGCTAGGGCCAAATCAGGAAATAGAGATATTAGAGGCAGCAGGATCATGGGGATGTGCGAGTAACACTAGGTATCACAGCAGGAGTGAGAGGATTGTGGCTCTTGTATCCAGGTGGGGGTTTTTTGTGTGTGTGTTGGTTTGTTTGTTTGTTTTTCTTTTTATGAGACAGTTCCTCATTGGATCGTGTGGGCAGTGTCTGGGGGGCATTTTCTTGATTGCCAAATGATGTGGAGGCCCAGCCCATTGTGGTCCTATGTTGTATAAGAAAGCAGGCTAAGGACTTAGAGAGATGACTCAGTGGTAAAGAGCACTGGCTGCTCTTGCAGAGGACCTGGGTTTGATTCCCAGCACCCACCTGGCAGCTAACAACCATCCATAACTCCAGTTCCAGGGGAATTCGATGCTCTCTTCTGACCTCCACTGGCAATGTATGACAAGTACACTTACATACATGCAGGCAATATACTCATACACACAAAATAAAAATAATAATATATTAAAAAATAATAAAAAAGAAGCAGGCTGAGCACAGGCCAGGGGAGCGAGCCAGTAAGCAACATTCTTTCAAGGTCTGTGCTTCAGTTCCTGCCCTGAGCTCCTGTGTCCCTCAGTGATGAACCATGACCTGTGAGATATAAAATAAACCCATTCCTCAAGTCGGATTTGGCCAATATTTTTATCATAACAATAAAAAGTAACCAGGGCACAGGCTCATTTATATGAGGCTGGCCTTGAACTACAATGTAGCCAAGGATGACCTTGACCTTCTGGCCCTCTTGCCTCTGCCTCTTGAATGCTGGGATTATAGGCATGTGCCACCATACCCATTTTATGCTGTCCTGAGGACAGAACCCAGGGTTACCTGCACAGTAGATAAACACCCTACCAACTGAGTACATCCACGGCCCTCAAGTTATTTTTCTTAGTAAATGTTATTTGTAATTCTTCAGGTATAACTGTCATTTCTGATTATTATATTTAGAGCTTGCTTTCCCCCAGATTTGCTATGTAAGCTTGGAAAAGAGCTAGTTTTAAGCTGTGAGGGAAATGTTGAAAAGCTCATCCTTATTAGTGGGAAACATTTTCATGTAGTTGATTGTCCAGAGGGAGTAACTGGGCTGCTGGATAGTGCTTCACAGCTTTGGAGCTACAGTCACAGGAGAAGCCCTAGCCATCTCTGCTGTCTACTTGTGTTAGGTCTTCATGGTTCGTTTCTAAGAATTTGTATTTTCAGAGTAACCTTTGTCTTGGAACAGTGATAGGACCACTTAATCTGTGGGGACTACAGATGCTGGGAGCCATTCCATTCTTTTTAATTGTTTTCAGGAAGTTAAGAGATTCCTTACCTCTGCCCTGACAATTGTGTCTTCTTGATTATTTACCTCTGTGATTTATATCTCTAGTGCTTGTCATGCTCAGAGAAAGAACATGCCAGAGTTCCAAAAAAGACCTCAAGAACTTGGTAAATTCTGCCCTAAAGGTTCCAAAGGAGAATAATGCTTTCTTCATATGTGTTTTAAATGTGTAATGAGTGATAGGGCCACACTGAACCTCATCACCTTCAAAGTAGAGCATTTCTGATATTTTCCAATAAAGGGTATCTCTTTTTGTCTGTTTGTTTGGATGTTAGAGAGTAGTAAATGGGCTACATTGGGGACCTAAAACTGCCTAGATTCAAATCTCTGTTTATTGGTGTGACCTCCAGCAAGCACTAGACCTACTAGCTCTTAGTATCCTCACAGCTCTGAGAGGGTAAATCAAGGAAATACAGGCAAAATGCTTGTCATTGCTCAGAGATTGTTGGCTTCAGCCATCAGTAGTAGTGATACTACCACTATTGTCTCGGGAGCCAGCTTAAATCTTGGTGGTTTTTTATCACCTAATGGTATAATGATGGGTCCCATTTCCTGAGCACCTACAGTGACCCTTAACAAACTTTATCCTACTGTGGGATTAGAGGAGGAGACAACATCTCCTGTTCTGACCTGTGTGTTTAGGCGCCTGCATTTTCACTAGAAGATGTCTTTCATACTTAACCCTCAACAAGTGTCAGTCAAAACACAGCCTTGATCTCAACTACTACTAAATCTATACTGTGAGTGCTTGAGAAAGAGAAGTTTTAACAGTTCCCTCAAGGTCATTAAGTCCCCTTCCTCCCCGCATTTATGTCAGAATTTTAAATTAGTACCCAAGCTAAATGGGAAACCCTTGGCTCATGTTGGGATTTGAGACTTGGCCTCACGTGTGCAGGACCTCGACACTGTCCCAGGGGCACATCCCTCTGTGTCTGCAGCCACTGTGGTGACTGTTCATTTTTGTTTGTATCTTGGCAAATCCTGAGTCCGCTAACTGACTCCTCTTCATATTAGCTGCTAAAACACTTAGAAAAGTCAAGTTTATGGTTTACTGGTAACATAACTTTCTCTTCTTCTGTCTTATTCTCATATTTTTTTCATCTCCCAACTAACATAGTTAAATCTTATCTCATTTTCTATACTTTGAATATCTGGAATAGACAGATTATCAATGAGCACAAATTCTAGTCCTCTCACAGCCTCTCAGAGCAGGTGGTAGTGACACCAGTGCTTTTCCCGGCATCTGAGGTGCTGTCACTTCCCTCTGAGGCCTTTATGCTTCTCTACCTTGTTTGTACCAGACATGAACCACTAAATGCCTAAGTCAAACACTTTGCTCTGCAAGGTGCCTATTTTTCTGCCCACATACCCTAGGCTACCCTGCCACTCTACTGGAATGCACTTCATACATCATGGGTATGGCTGCTTCTGCCTCTGAGGGAGCATTCTCCTTTTTCCTGATGCCCCTTGTCAAAATTAGCTTCCCTACTACTGTAACACCATGACATAGTGGCAAGTTTATACCCAGTAGAAATTCATTTGGTTCTGAGATTTGGAATCTGGGAGCCATGAATATGGCAAGGTATTGTGCTTTAACCAACCCATTCTTGGAAGTAAGGGCTGTCCTTTTCCCAAACTGGAGTTCTTATGACTTAACCACTCCTTGAAGGACCTACCTCTTGATATTGTTAACAGTGGTAAATAAATGTCACCTTGAGTTTCAGAGGCAATAATTTTCAAACCTCAGCACACTCTGGCTAAGGCTGCTAGATTATAAACTTCATGAGGGGTTTGGCACATTTGTCATCAGATGGATGCATGCCAGTTCTCTCTAACCCACTCTGAATTTCTGTTAACATAGTTGAAACTATTTTGACTTTTAGGATTGATTTTCTTTTTTTGGTCTTTTTTTTTGAGACAGGGTCTCCCAGTAGCCCCAGCTGGCCTGGAACTCACTATGTAGACCAGGCTGGCCTTGAACTCACAGAGATCCACCTGCCTCTGCCTCCCGAGTGCTGGGATTAAAGGCGTGCGCCGCCATGCCTGGCTAGGATTGATTTTCTTAGGATTAGTCTAATGCGTTGATTTTGGAACCATGTTAAACTATTTCAGAAAATTTAACATGTTACTGGTAGGGCTGGGTGTGGTGACACGTCTTTAATCCCAGCACTTGGGAGGCAGAGGCAGGCAAATCTCTGTGAGTTTGAGGCCAGCCTGGTCTACATAGTGAGTTCCAGGTCATCTGGGGCTACAGGGAGACCCTGTCTCCAGAAGAAAAAAAGAAAAAAATCAAGATAATTTTGGGGGGCTGGAGAGATGGCTCAGTGGTTAAGAGCACTGACTGCCCTTGCAGAGGATCCTGGTTTGATGACCAGCACCCACATGGCAGCTAACAACTGTCCATGACTCCAGTCCCAGGGGAATCCCTCTTCTGACCTCCATGGGCATTACATGACACAGGTACACTTAAACACATTCAGGCACTACACTCATACACATAAAAATATGTTACTAGTAGGAAATGTGAAGTTAAAAAATAGCATGGTGTGCCGGATAGCTTTAGTGTCAACATGACACATTTAGGTTGAGAGAGCCTCAATTGGGGAATTACCTCCATTGAACTGGTCTGTGGCCATGTCTGTGAGGCATCTTCCTGATTGTTGTGTGATGTGGGAGGGCCCAGCGCGCTGTGGGTGGTGCCATCCTTGGGCAGGTGGGCCTGTGTTGAATAAGAAAGCAGGCTGAGCAGGGGCCAGGGAACCTTGCCAGTAAGTGTTCCTCCATGGCCTGTGCTCCAGCTCCTACCTCCAGGTTCCTGCCCTGAGTTCCTACCTGGGGCTCCCTGATGATCTGTGACCCAGGAGATATAAGATAAAATAAACCCTTTCCTCCCCAAGTTGGTATTGGTCAGAGTGTTTTGTCACAGCAATGGGAAAACAAAATAGGACATATGGTTTCTTACTTCAGTATATATTTTGAGTCTCTGAGAGTCTCTGTTGCTGTGTATTTGACACCATGCTGAGAGTGTTTATGGATACACTGGGTCTCTGTGAAACTTGTTTACATAGGAGAGGTGATGTCAGTGGACAGAAGGAGCACAGAACAGGATTTGTTTTCTCATACCTGTGACTACAGTACCTGATAGAAACAGCTACGAGAGGGAAGATTTATTTTGGCCCACAATTTGTATCCACTCCATCCTGGCAGGGAGGGCATGGTGGGACAGAATGGTTCACTTCATGGCAGCCAGGAAGCAGAGAAAGGGGAATGCTGGTGGTGATCTGTTCCTCTAGCTTCTCCTTTTCCCATTTATTCTGTCTGGGTCCAGCCCATGGGATGGTGCCATGGCCACCTACATTCAGGACGGGTCTTTCTATTGGGTTAACCCGTGGAAGTGCTCTCTCAGACACAGGTTCTAAATCCAGTCAAGTTGACAATGGAGATCAAACATGACAGGATTTATCTTATATTTATGAAATAACTTGTCACAAACTTTCTTTTGGATATTTTGGGATTTTTTCCCTCAAATCTTCCTCCCTCTCTCTCTCTCTCTCTCTCTCTCTCTCTCTCTCTCTCTCATTGGTCAGTCTTTTTTGAAACAGGATCTCATATAGCCTAGATTGCTTTTAAACTTATGTGGGTAAGGATACCTTTGTACCCCTGATCTTCCTGCCTCCACCTCCCAAGTGCTAGAATTATAGGCATATGACACCATACCCACCTCTTTTTAGTGTTTTCGAGGTGGATTTGCCTTACCACATCACTGTTGATTTGAGGTACGTGTGTTTAGTTGTACTTTGAAAAAAGTCCTATTTTTTTTTAATTTTTATTTTCTTTTGAAGGTATTTCTATCAAATAGAGTTCTAGTTTATATTCAAAGAGCTAAGGGAAATCGGACTTTTGTATAAGCAAGACAATTCTCTGTAGAATCATTATCCAGTCACCAACTATCTTTTCCCTATCACTCGCCTGCTTACATGGGTTACAATATTTGTTGTCCTGTGTTGGAGCAGAGGGAGTTTGAGCTCTACCTGTGGCTTTGATACTTGGGTGAGAAGGGTTAACTTAGTAGACTGGGTTGCTCAGGGCCTCACATTCCCAAGAACAACCTGTTGGATGACTGGCCCTCATCCAGCTCCTAAAAACTGAGCCCCTAACATTTTTGTTTGTTTGTTTTTTGTTGTTTTGTTTTTGATCTTTTTGAGACAGGGTCTCTCTGTAGCCCCAGCTGGCCTGGAACTCACTATGTAGACAAGGCTGGCCTTGAACTCAAAGAGATCTGCCTGCTGGGCGCTTGTGTGTTTTTTGAGACAGAGTTTCACTGTAGTCCATGCTGGCCCAAATTCTCCATCCTCTTGCCTCTACCTCCTGAGTGTTGACATCATACTCATGCACCATCATGTATGACTCCCACTTTGCCTGGATAGTTTATAGGAAAAATGTGTCCTCTGGGCAGTTGGAGCTCAGTGGCTGACTACAGAAGAAGAGATAGACTTTCAGGCTCAGGATAGTTGTCCTCAGGATAGCTGGTGACATGTGCACACACTGCCGTAGTAGAGTATGTCTCCCCAACAGACTCTGGGAGCTCATGCCTAGTCTCCCACTCACTCATCCCCTGCTGTTTTGTTTATTATTTTTATTTTATGTGTGTGAGTGTATTGCCTGCATGTATGTGAGTGCACCCGTGTTGTGCAGTGCCATGGAGGCCAGAAGAGGGCTTCGGATTCCCCTGGAACTGGAGTTAAGGACAGTTTGTAGCTGCCATGTGGGTGCTGGGACTCGAGCCCGGGTCCTCTGCTAGAGTAGTCAGTGCTCTTAACTGCTGAGCCATCTCTCCAGCCCCTCCCTGCTGTTTTTACTGTGTCCCATTTGCATAAGGAGCTGTTAACATGAGTCTTGTCCTGGAGAATTGTCAGACTTGAAAATGGTCTTTTGAGACCTCATCATAGCCTTCTGTGTCCGCTTTCCATGGAAATTTGCCCAATTGAAGCTCCACAGAGAAACAGCCTCCAGTGATTATAAACAGTTTGAATGGTTGCACCAGGACATGGAGGACTCCTGCACTTGGCGGTACAGACCAGGTACTAACCAGAAGTGTTCAGGACTCATGGTTGAGGCAACCAGATCTCTTGGTGTCCTGGGGAACATATATCCTGCTTGGAACCTCTGCTCCTGAGCAGGCTACTGAGTCTCAAGCATCATGGCTCCATAGATTAGGTACTTAGAATTTCTTATGAAATGATTTTCTTTTGTCTAATTGCTCTCATGTTATTTGTTTTCAGGCACGTGGACCCCATTTAATCCAGTGACTGTTAGGTCAATCATTTGTAAGTATACATGCAGACAGGCTAAAAGGCTGTTTCTGTGGGTGCTACTACAGCCACAGTGAGATGATGTTGGGTAGGCCCTTGTGTTCCATCCTCCCTGCTTCTGTATTTTCTCCATTGCTTTCATTCATTCTTTAGTTTTAACTTATAGCTTAACCTGTCCTTTCAGTTTCTAACTCTGAAGGTCATGGATATATAAAATTTCCAAAGTACAGTTTTCTTCAAGCATTATTTATTATTTGATAGTATTGCTTTGTTTTGTTTTGCATGTTTTATACTACAAACACATAGATCTGACTCTCACATAGATCCTCTTGCCTCTGCCTCCTGAGTGCTGGGATTAAAGGCGTGAGCTGCCATGTCTGGCTGCAGCCACATATTCTTAGGAAAGATTTACTGTCCTTTTGATTTCTAGAAGCTTGCCTTTCTGGGAGGAAGATTTTTTTCTAGCCTGCCCACCCAGATTACTTTTAGTATGAAATCTTGCGTACAATCCCGTCCTCCACAAGGGATAAGGCATATGTCCAGCACTTTCTGCTTAATCTCTCTCCCCTACTATGTCCTTTTGAGGGTGCCCTGTATCTAGCGAACCCAGCAGCATACTGCTGGGTATGTTGGTATAAGTAATCTGCATTCTAGCCACCACATCAGATTGATGTAGGTAAAGAACTGACAAAGTATCTTATGGGTTACTGACAGAATCTTTACCACTAGGAAGATTCTGATATGGGACAACTGCCTAGAAGCTGCTTCTCTGCCTGGCCCCCCTGGAAATTCTTCTTAGCATTCACTTGTGAACAGCATGTCAACACCAAGCCTTTCATGTATTTAGTGTCTTAGAGTAGTGATACAAAAAATAACCTGTGGTTGCAGATATGATTCTACACTATGGAGGGAAACACTGTGGCACTACTACAGTTTGAAAAGACCATGAGTCACCATTCTTTTACAGACAGAGCTTTTATGTTTTTAGCCATTTATAATTATATGTAAGTGTAGTTACCAGTTCTTATGTATTTGAATCTAGACTTTAAACCAATTTTTAAAAATTTGTTTTTGATTTATTTATATTTTTGTGAATGAATGTTTTACATTGATACATATAAGTGCACCCTGTGTGTGCAGTGCCAGTGAGAACCAGAAGAGGGCATTGGATCCCCTGGAACTGGAGTTACAGATAGTTGTTAGCCACCATGTGGGTGCTGAGAACCAAGCCTGGATCCTCTGCAAGAGCAGCCAGTGCTCTTAGCTACTGAGCCATCGTCTCCAGCCCCTAAACTGATTTTTTTTTTTATGAAAAATTGAGTCTTAAAAAACAAAATTCAAATCTTACTAGACTGAGATATCTTCTAATTTAAAATAGGCTTCTCCTGGCCTAGAAGAACTGTTCTGAGCTTCCCTCTAGAGATCTGGTCCCTAGAAAGTAGAAGGATTTCCTCTAGCTTAGGACTAGGAGCCAGGAAAGTGGGAGCCTTGAACTCTGCACCCCATTTTCCTCCAGCGAAGAGCACCCTAGTGTTCCTGTTTTCTAGAACTTTCTGAAGTATAAAGTATTGTTTTAAGTTTTATCATTGGCTCTGCCCGCCTTCTGCACAGCTGTTAGTGTGCATTCCTGCTGTTATTACTTAGGGTTGGTGGTAGGTGACTGTGCCCCACACACCTCACCCTGGGCAGTGGTGACCAGGCTTTTAGGGATTTAACACTTGTTAAACAAGTCTTTGCTAACCAGCCTGTGAATAGCAGACTGGTTCCCTGGCTGTACCTGACGGACTGAGATCTGGTGTGAAACTGTGAGTACTATGCTATGGTTGTCTCTTGCTGTTGAACATGGAAACTTAATGTGTTCCTGGTGTTCCTCTACATCTCAGCTATGTTTGACCGGGAAAACAAGGCTGGTGTAAACTTCAGTGAGTTCACGGGTGTCTGGAAGTACATCACAGACTGGCAAAATGTCTTCCGCACCTACGACAGGGACAACTCGGGGATGATCGACAAGAACGAACTCAAGCAAGCTCTCTCAGGTTTTGGTAATTCACTTGTCTTGATTGTGTAGCGTATTTCATTTTGGAACATAGGAGTCCCTGAAACTTTGTTTTACTTTGTTCAGCTCATTGATTTTTAACCCAGTCCATGTTTATATTGTGCAGGTTCATATTTTGATATTTTTGTCATGAAGGTTTATATTTGACATGGAGTCTTTCATACAGTATTTCATCCAAAATGAGATAAGGGCTATGCAAATCGTTTACTTTTTGTAAGACAAGATAGTGCCATGAACAAAATTGAGAATGTGGCTTTTGAAACAATTTAAAGTAGACAATAAAAATAAAATGGTATGGGGTAGTTGGCAGTGTATGCTTCGTGATATGTCAAAATACATAGGAACAGTGATAAAATAACACTAAGAAGCCATTCTGTAAATGTAGTTTTTCAGTACATCCAAATTTTGCCCTTTGAGGGTTTAGAAAGTGTGTGTGCCCATTCTCAAGTGTGTTCAGCACATGAGTGCTCAGTGTGGGCACACCTGTGTCTTAGGCATGCAAAGTGTGCTGTGCTTCTCACAAATATTCATAGTACCTATCCAGAGCATATTCCAAGCTGGTCTTGAGTCTGAGAGGAAATTGGGACTTTTATTTACACACATTTCACTGAAATGTTTAGGCTAATCCATGTCTTGTCAAAGTTTCTCTAAGATGTTTTATTTTTTTAAAAGCTAAGTAAATATAATAAATGTCTTCTAGGAAAAGTGGGGAGAAAAGTTAGTCTAATGTATTAAGAATCTCTTGAGGTTTGCTTTCCAAATATGTTACTTCCTGTGGCTGCTAACGTGACTTCTATAATTCTGTCATTTCTCCTTCCACCAAGGCCAATGACCATCTCTTTTTTTTCCTTCTCTCTCTTCTCACTTTGTCCTTAGGGCCAGTTAGAAGCGCAAGTGTCCTCTGTATCCTAATCAATATATTTCAGACGCTTCCATGAAGAAGCAGCGGGCCATCTTGGGCAGTGCCAGCATCCCCCTCAGTTTCTAAGCATTTCTTGGCACCATAGTGCTCTGTGCAACACTCCATGGTGGTCCTGCCACATTTGTTTGTTTTTCCTCTTATTTGTCCTGATATAGGGCATCTCTCCTAATTATCCAGGAAAAGAAATGTCTTTGTTTGCATATTAATTTGGAATATTTCTGGTGGCAACTGTTAGGAAGTTGTCTTTAAAAGCAGAAGTTCCTTTTCTGACTCTTGAAAATGATGTGTTATAAATGGGTAAACAGGAGCTTAGTAGAAAATAGGGAATCCATGGTGTTCCAGGCCAGTCCAAGTCTCTCAAAGGGTAGATGGTGGGTCTCATGATTCTTCTTTTCACTTAAGCCATTGTAACTAACATCTGTGGCCAGCTACAGAGGTCTGGATGGGCATGCATACATCCCTCTCAGGTATGCCTTGGGTTGCTTGTTGGGTTTACCTGTAGTAAATCTATCCCCCTCTGGTGATAGCACAATAGTTTCTCGCCCAAAACCCTGTTCTCTGTAAGCATCTCTTCTTCCATCTAGCCTCTGGCAACTTCGGTAGTTTAGTTTTTTTCTATAATGAAAATATGTGAAAATACAATGAACCTCCATTTATCTACCACTTAATATTAACCTTGTTCCATTTTTTGCTGAATCTGTTTGTCCCTTTTATGGTAGAAGCTTCTTGGGCAAATCTGAAGCCTGTGCCATATCCCTGGGTTCCTCATTCTGCAAGTAGAAAGAGTGGGCACTTGCTCACTTCACAATATTGATGGTGTTTTAATGATGTTTTGCCTGAATTAGGGGGCAGGCAAAGCCCATGTACAGCCTTTCTCATGCCATTTGCTGGTTAGGGAACACAAATTGGTGCTATGCAGATCATTCCTCTGTCTACTGATTTCAGTCAAGCTGTGACTGCAGTGGGACCCTGGAGCGGGGACACAGGACTGTGTTGCTTTTGGTGATGGAACTGCTTGTTGTCTGGGGGCTCACTCCCTGATGCTGACCAATCTCACCATAGGTCATGTGGCCTGGATCAGAGGTGTCAGTGAAATGATTGTTCTGGTGGTGTCATCCCTCCTATTGGGCTACAGAAGAGCCCTCCTGTGAGGGGGGTTCCACCTATTCCGTCCTTTCTGAGATGATCAAGACTGACCCTAGGGGCACTCCCCTGGTTGAGAGTTGTGGCCTTGCTACTGCACAAGGGTAGAAGCTTCCAGGTGACTTTATTTGGTTAGGTATGCAGCATGGGTGGGTTACAGTAGAATTTCCAAAGTCAGGAATTCTTCTGGTTGAGAGAGGAGAAGGATTATGAAGAATTCCCCAGGCATGTTGGGGTGCAGCTTGGCAGTTAGCAGATGGCTTAAGTAGCTCCCTGGCCAGTCTTGATGATGGCACAGGGCTGAGCACAGGCAGCACTTTGGTGCTAAATCAGTGCTATTCTTGTGTGCTCTTGTATTGAAGGAGCTTCTCAGAGTCCAGTTTGCTGCTGGGTTTTGGCCTCTAGGAAGCCAAACCTTTTGTGGTTGCTTGTTCTAGTTCACTTTGCTAGTTGTCTTTGTCTTTGCTTTGCCTAGAACAATACCAATGATCAGAGAAATTGCAAGTTAATTACAGCACCAGTGGAATTGCATCCATTTTTTTCATAAACAGGAAATAATTATTCTTTGTTCTTACTTCATCTGTCCTTCTTCTATCCTGGTAGGAAACCAGCAGTGTTTGCCTTGCCCTGTTCATACCTGGACAAGTAGTAGTACCCTGTGACCATTTGTCCTAACCTCTGTCCTTAGAGGATCAGGGCTCAACCAAGGCCACTGCCTCACCCAGACACATGCTAAGTATAAGAAAGTGAGGCATGGCAGCTGCTCCCCACTTGCTGCCTCTTTCTGACTTAAATTGGGAATCCTGATTTCTGCTTCATCTACAAGGAAGGGGCTTCTGTAGCTGCTCTGATGTCATTCATTTGTTTAGGGCTTCTGAAAGTCCCATCCCTCACTGACAGCTCTGGAAGGTGCTATGAACATGTTTTCGTGTCTACACATTTATCAGTATAATGATTAAGTTTCATAATTAACTCTGAGATTCACTTAGACCATAGATGTACATGTCCTTGCAAAGCTTCCACAGGACTGAAAACCAGTAAAAATACTTTGGCATCTGGATCTTGGCTCCTGAATCAATAAAGATACCCTGATCATACAGGTAGTGGATGACAAGGGAAAGAAGTAGGTGAGGTGTGTCTTCCTTAAACATGGCCTCTAGGATGTTTGCATATCTGTTGTCCACACATCTTCAGAACTGTCATCCCCTGCTTAAGACCTTTTCAAACACGCTCAGTAAATTGGAAATGGAGTCCTAACATCTGATGACCTATTAGTTATTCTGAACTTTATGAGGCTGATTAGCTGTACTCCCAAAACCCTGACATCAGATGAACTGATTGGTGTGGGACCCCCAGCAGCTAACCTCTTTCCTTATGTTGACACACATGTAACTGGACCTTTCTACGATATTTTAGCTTTCATTGCATTCTCAGATAGTGACTAAGGCAACAAGACATTCAGAATGTTCACATCTAGATTAGTTAACATAGTGAAGTGACCCTACGGGGTTCAAGAATGCCAAGCCTGTCTACCCTGTGGGTCTTGTCTTTGGGCACAAGTGGAGCGGGTCCAGTTAGCTAACGTATGTCAGTGAGCTCAAAGGTAGCAAGATAGCAGTATCTTCCATGTTACTGCTCAGACTTGGAGAGTGGCACTGGTATTTAAGATTATATAGAGGTTGTAGAAACACATTTATTCAAGCAGCTGCTTACTTTTCAGAGCACTTTTCAACAAATTTGCATTTTTTCCCCTCTTAGTCCTACCTAGCCACTGTTTGATCTTAGGCCTTTGGGATCTTAGGAGGGAAATGTTAGGTAGTGATGCATACCTTATGCCTCTCCAGGCCTGTTTTGACTCTGATCTTTCTTCTCCAAGGCTACCGGCTCTCTGATCAGTTCCACGACATCCTCATCCGCAAATTTGACAGGCAAGGACGAGGGCAGATCGCATTTGATGACTTCATCCAGGGCTGTATCGTCTTGCAGGTGATGGAGCAGTTTCATGAGGGTTTGCTTTAGCCTACAGAGGTGGGAGTGGAGGGAGGGGGCAGAAAGGGAGTAACCATCAGCCATCAGAGTAGGTACTTGATGTTCCATTTAATTAGTTTTGGGAGTTTATAAAGCTTTTCTTCTACCTTTGGAACAATAGTCATGTTCCTCATACTAATGTATCAGTTGGTGTCTGTAAGACTATAGTCATCTAGAAAATGCCTGTTGGCTGCTGATGACATAGTTGTTATGATGTCATAGCATAAGACATTGTATTTTTATGGTAAAGCTGATATGGTGAACCTTGTTGCCAGTCATGAAAGTGCAACAATATGTTTATGTACAGTATGTAATCCTTGATAATGATAATAATTGACTTACAGAATTGCAATATTCTACTTTTTATTTTTGGAGACAAGGTCTCTATAGCCCAGGCTATTTCATTTTGGGGTTTGGGGGAGGGAGGAAGGACAGGGTCTCATATATCCCAGGCTTATATCCTTGAATTCATGGGCCTTGTACGTAGCCCATGATAATTTTGAACGCCCAGCCCTTTCCTCATCCTCCTGAGTGGTAGAATTGCAACTCTGTACCATATGCTATACTTTTTATCACTATAATCTACATCTTTTACTTACTAAAAAAATACTGGCAAGAACATGAAATTTATACCAGAAGAGCCTCCTATATCTCATCTTTTCTGTTACCCTTGATTGTCCTGAGCAGCCATGCCAAGTGTTTAATAACCTATGCTATCTAAGCATGATAAGCAGACTCTGGGGTGTTCAAACAGCCTTTCATTTCTTAGTACATCCCTGTTAGTCATGTAGGCCCTGCTGTTGCTCCTAGATAGAGGTCCAAGTTCTATAGGGTTAAGCTTTGGAAATGTGGTAGGCTGATAAACCCTTAGGTATCTTAAAATTTTTGCTATAGAAAATTTCAAAAGCAGCAACAGAGCTAGCATTACAATGGCCAGGTACACAACTATTAACTCAGGGTAGATGGGTGACACTTCCATGCCTGGTCCCTTTGTCTGAAGCAGATTCAGTTCATGAAAAGCAAGTATCTTCTCCATAAATACTTCAGTAGAACCTATTCCAAAAGGTAGGTCCTTAAAGTTTGAGTTTGGGCTGAGACAGAATCTGCTGTTGCAGAACCATTGAGAGATGTAGACAACATTAGATCTTGAGATGTAATAAAGAATTTTGGAAAATATTCTCAGAGTTTTGTTCTAGTTAGATGACAGATCAGTAAAAGTATATCTCCTCTGACTTGGCCTGATAAGTGCAACCATGCTCCATGGTTTCTTTACAAATGAATCTGGCCTGGCATGGTAGTGTATATGTATAATCCTAGCACTGAGGAGGCTGAAGCAGGAAGATCACAAGTTTTAGGAGAGCCTGGTTACATAACAGTAGCCTGTCTAATAAAAAAAGAGTCTGGCACATCAGGCCCTGAAATAGAGACTACCTCTGCCATCACTCTGAGTTCCTGTGAGGTTAAATAAACTTTTCAGTACTCTCTCAACACTTTAGGTAAAGAGATACAATATGAAATCTCATTATGGACTATGTCTGGGTTACTTTAGTTTTCATTTGTAAGTCAATTCTGGTCCATAATTTCTGCATATGTGAAAGTCTTTGGAATTCTTCAGCCTCTTGGGCAACCCAATCAAGTTACAAAAGACTCCTCCATCCTCCACAGGACCGTCCTATAGCCTGTGGGCATTATCTCCAAGAAACACTTTAACCTTTGGAGAATGAAAAATGCTATAAAGAGGTGGGATATCTAAAAGGAAAAAGAAGCTGCAGGGCCACAAGTGAAAATTTTCTCAGAATTGTTTTCTTTTTTAAAAAAAGAAAAAGCCTTCCTGAAAATTTTACAAAATAACACAAAATTTAAAGAAATCTTCGGAAAATATAAATAAAATATAAAGGAAGAGCAGTTCTCACCTCCTGAGTTTCATTTTGGGGGTTTGGGGAGTGGGTTGAAGGGCAGGGTCTCATATATCCCAGGGTCACTTTCAATTCCTCAGTATAAATGAGAATGGCCTTGGAACTCCTGACCCTTCTGCCTCCTCCTCTCAAGTGCTGAAATTACAGGCCTGTACCACCACACTCTGCAACCTGTTATCTTTTGAATTTTGTTTTATGATGCTTGGAATTGAACTCAGGGTCTTGCACATATTAGGCAAGTGCTGTACCTTTAAGTTATATCCCCAGCCCTACCCTTTGTTGGTGTCTCCCTCCCTCCCTCCCTCCCTCCTTTTGAGACCAGGACTCCCTGTAGCCCTAGTTGGCCTGTAACTCATTACGTAAACCAGACTGGCTTTGGTTTTAACTCCCAAGTGCTGGAGTTAAAAGTGTGTGCCTCCACACGCAGCCCCCACCATTGTTCTTTAAGCCAGAGGTAACTACTGATAATACTCTTCTGCAGTTACAGAGACCTGTTCTGAAGGATGTATCATTAGATGATTTTATTATTGTACAAACATGGAGTATGCTTACACATACCTGCATGGCACAGCTTGTTGCACACCTAGGCTATATCATATAGCTACTGTTAGCTTTCCCTTACTGTAAAAATATGTGACATCAATCAACTTAATTAGAGATAAGATTTCTTTAGGCTCATAGTTTTAGTTATGGTTTTAGTCAGAGTTGGCCTGTTGTTTGGGGGACTTGAGGCAAGGAGATAAGAAGGTGATTGGAATAACAATATCCCTTTTATGGGCACACCATCAATGGCTAACTTACGTTCACTAGACCCCACTTCCCTAAAGTACCATGTAGTAGGACAAACCCCTCAATACATGAGTCTTTTTGGCAGATACTCAAGATCTAATTTATAGTATCCTGCAGTCTATCACTGATCAAAATAGTTATGTGGCACATGACTGCAGTTTGTTTTATACTAGTAGTATTTTGTAGGAGATAAGAGGTATTAAGATAGACTCTTGCTATGTAATCCAGGCTGGCCTTGAGCAGTCCTGCCTCAGCCTCCTAAATGCTGAGATTACAGATTTGTGCCACCACACTCAGCTTCCAAACTAGCAGTTTTCATTATAAAACACTTGTGTCTAAAGTAGGAAGTGGAGCCATCCTGGTAGGTCTTGATGTGCTGGGGCTGTTGAGTTCTGTTAACACAGAGAATTCTCTTGTGCCTGTTTTTCTTGTCTTTAGAATTCATAAGAGCATGTTATAGTCTTCCCGAGTCTCTCCAAAATTGGCATGCACATACCCTGGTCTTCCTCCTCTGCTTCTGACCTAGTCTGGGTCCACAGTCTATTGCAAGGCAAGGAGCAGGCTGAGCCCTGCATGGTGTTTACATACTACATTCTGCTGGGCCTTCCCCCACTGGGCAGAAGTTCTGGGGCAGAAGTTCAAGTGCAGCCTATTATCTCCATCCTGAGTTATCTAGACCAGGTCCTTGGGGTGATTGTGAAGTGGGAAGAAGGGCCCAGTTAGTGTGTAGTTGGGCAAGGCCTGACTTGCCCTTTATTCCTCATTCTCAGGCTTTGTTGCCCATCGAGTAGCTCAAGGCTACCCCACATATGCTTCCCTATGTGAGTGCCATTGCAATTGTCCTAAGGAATAAGCAAATGTGTATGCTTCTGAGATTGGGCCCCCAAATGCCTTTATTTAAGCACACCATTCTGTCCAGCAAATTCTCAATGCCTATGCTTCTTCCAGAGGTTGACAGACATATTCAGACGCTATGACACGGATCAAGACGGCTGGATTCAGGTGTCTTACGAGCAGTATCTCTCCATGGTCTTCAGCATTGTATAACCAGCCCTTGTGAACAGCAAGCACAGCATGCAAAAAGACTGGAAATGCCAAATCCCTTACTGTGATGAAACAGGACACAGATGCAGTTAGATACTGTTCTTCATGTAGACTGTATAATTAATACTTGGGGACCTGGCTGTACATATGTGAATAAGCTGGTTAGTACTTTTGTAGTGGTAACCATAGCTCACTGTTGTAATACAAACCTTAGGATTGCTGACTAATTGTGCCATGAGGTAAAACCTAATAATGGTTCAGGATTCTGCTTGCAAACAATGTATCATGACCTTTCTAAATGTCTCTAATAGTATAGTTAAAATGCCTTTACTAGCTAATAAGATTTTAAAATAATACGAAATTTGCACAGAAAGCTTTTCATGTGCCTTACTTTTTTTAAAAAAGAGTTTATTGTATTCTTTGGAATATGCAACACAAGCAATAAAGTAATGATACAGACTAGTGGCCTACTTTGGGCTTTCACATCAAACAGGTGGAAAAAATGTATACATGTCCCTAAACTCACTGCTTCACGTGCACTCTTTCACCTGAAATTATATCCAGCAGACAAGCATAACAAATGGGCTAGGAAGGGAGATGTGTCTAACCTGTGGACACCAGAGGTATGAACTGTGTACAGGATCCCACGTCAACCGGGGCATAGGTTAGGTGGGGTACGGGATGAACGGATGGACAGCAACAGTTTCGTGCCCCCTCTTTGTCAGTTCTGCATAAAGGAAGTAGGCGGTATATTTTGTTTTAGAAGGGGAAAGGAAATGAAGACATTTGGGTGGGTGTCTGGGATGAGAATGGGCCTCTCCTGGCCAAAGATGTGGCCGAGGGTTTGTTTCCTGGGGATCACAGGGAGGAGGAGGTATGTTCAGTGGTGGCAGAGTTGTTACCTTTTGGGCTTTTACCTTGTAACCCTGCTGTGGGAGTTTATGGGTATGCCCTGGGGATTTCTGCTCATACCCCTGTTGGCTGCCACCAAAATTTACCTGTGACCCAAGCTAGCAGCCCAGTGACACCAGCCAACACACAATGGAGTCCATGACTCCAGTGCTAGGTGATGACTCTTGTAAATAGCCACCAGTTAACTGTTCCCTCCTGACCCCATCTGCAGTCCTCCTCCATCCTCAACCTGCAGGATCCCAAAGCTTGGCCTCCAGCTACTAACCTCTTTTTGTGTATGTGCACCAAACATGAGTATCACATACTTGAGCACCTTCACTGCATGCCTGAGTCCGTACACTGCACACCTGAGTACCTGTACCACATGTCTGAGTATCAACACCAACAACACACCCTAGGTCCTGCTCCACACTCTGTACATCTATAACCAGACACCGGAGAATGTACTCTACACACCTGAGTACCTGATCCTCCATAAGTGAGTGTACTATACACCCTCAGTACCCACCCTGCACTCCTGAGCATTTGCTTCACACATCTGAGCATCTGTACCAATACCTGAGACTGCACTGCACATTTGAGTGCCTGCTTTACATGTTGGGGTATCTGCAGAATGTGCACCAAACCTGCACTGCACACCTAAGTGTCTGTCACACCTGTATTACCTGCTCCACATATCTGAGTACCTGCTGTACATGCCTGGTTACCTTAACATGAGAATGGAATACTTCTGTCACACCTGTGTGAGCTTGTACCACACATCTGAGTATGTGTGCCACACCTAAGAATGGAGCACTTGTACCACAACCCTGAGTGAGGCACTTGTTAGGGTCCAGTGCTGTCATTGGGAAGGACTAGGTTTGAATTCTTGAGCTGAGCTGGGTTTAGTGTACCTGGACTGCTTCCAGGAATTCAAATGGCCTGGCGTCAGGGTTCCAGCCCAGGAAGGCAGAGGAGTGGACTGGAGGGTTGTTTGTAGAGAGATCTTTGCTATTCTTTCAAGGGCCAGAAAAGGGGGTGGCTGAGGGGTGTAGGAGGGTCAGTGGCAAGGCAGGTGCCCACCTTAAGGGAAGCAGGACCCCAAGCCTACAATGCACCAAGCTGCCTAGCACATACTCCAGCCCTTTAGCAGAGCAAGGAGGCCTGCTGTAGGAAAACTAGCCTGTTCTAGTTAAACACTGCTTACCTCTTGTACCCCATGGGTTTGCTCAGTTTAGCCACATGGGGGCAGTGCAGTCATGCCACAGACTGTTCTGCCTGTCTTTCTACCTTTGTAAAGTTAAAAACCTCTTTCTGTCATAGACAGCCTGATCTCTCTTGGTACTGTCCTCCATTTTCTTGAGAAGAGTCAGATGAAATTTTGCCTCCAGACTAGAGAAATGACTCAGTAGGTAAATTGCTTGGCATGCAAGCAGGAGGCCAAAATTTGTATCCCCAGAATCCACATAAAAAGGTAGATCTGGTGCATGTCTCCCATTCTGGGAGGTGGGAACAGGAGGATCCCAGAGATTCGCTGGTCAACCAGTCTAGCCAGTCAGTGAGCTCCAAATTCAGTGAGAGATCCTGTCTCAAGAAATAAGGGTGATAGAGGAGGATACCTGATGTCATATCCGCTCCGTATGTGTACACATGGGCATGCATATCCCCACATTCATTCGTGTGTGCACACTACACAAAGTACCCCTAGAGTCTCTCAACCAGCTGGGCACTCACCTGCCCCTATGCATGCGAGCAGGTACAGTGGCAAGTGAGTGGGTTCAGGGTTAGAGAAAACAAGGTCTAGGGAATTATCATCTGATGGGGTTGTGAGGGTGTCCCCCAGGAAGGATGGGGGTTCTAGGCAAATAGGTATGGGATCTGCTCTGCCTCCTATGGGCTCAGTCTCCAGGATGCTTTTGCCCTAGTTCTTTTTGTGCCTCCACATCCTCTGACACCCCAAGTAACCCAGGCCAAGGGGCTCCTTGTCACCCCAAAAGGTGGAGAGCAGGAGTGGGACTTCCTATTAAGTTTTTCCTGGGAAAAATACGCAGCAGAAAAATAAAGTGAGAAAACATGAAAATGTTCTGTGATTCAGACAACGGCAAGGCAGGTTAGGCCACTGGGAACCAGGCTCAGCACCTGAGGGAAAAGTTCTCCGAAGGTGTTGAGATGGGGCTAAGACAAGGCCTGGCGCATGGAAATTTCACTAAGAGGCACTTGCAGAGCTCTGAGATGTGGGAAGATGAAGACTGACTCAAGAAAAATAAGCAAATGAGTCACTGCTCAGTCTGTGGTGTCTATGAAAGGTAATAAGTCAGAAAATCAGCACTTGCTACTTCCAACCCCTGCCAGCCCCTCCCCAACCTCTGACTTCCCCACTCCATGCTATGCCCACAGAGTGAGTGGGCTAAAGTGAGGTAAGGGCACTGGGGCAGAGCATAATTTCAATAACATCAGTAAGGCCTCTCCTAGGGGGAATTTTACACTGACAAGGTTTGTGGAGAAGCAGCTCTCCAGGCGTGGAAACAGTGCGTCGAGGAAACGAGCCGTTAGGAGCCACTGGCCAGTGCGGGCCATGTTAGAAGTATGCTGGACTGGGTGTTGGAAGCCATGCTGGGGCTGGGGTGTCAGGCCATGCTGAGCTAGTCCAGACTGAGATGGTTGACATCTTTGACATCCCTCTGCCCAGAAAGCTATCTATGCCCAATCTCTGTCCTCCTATCTGTTACTGTCATGTGGTTGAGAGAAATGTGGGATCTGTCAGGTATGGGGTCCTTCCTCATCTGGGCTATATTTGACACTATTACCCAGGGGCAGGGCTGCAGCCCCCAGCTTGGCTCCAGATCACATGGATGGATCCACAGATCAGAGCAACATCAGGATCATGTGTAGGGTTGACAAGGGCAGCCAGCTGGTGAGGGTGCCCCAGACCTGGTTGAGGACTGAATTCTTGGGACTCTCAGAGCAGGGTTGTTGGCAGAGGATGGGTTCCTAACTCACTTGTCCTTAGAAAATGAAGTGAGGGGCTCTGCTGACACTAAAGACATCTCACTTCCACACACCTCAGTAGTTTCTGTTCCTATTGGATTCAGGTATAGGAAGTTGAATTAAGCCTATTTCCTGTGGTTTTCATGGAGTTGATGCTCAGTTGGAGGGCTGTTGAGAGAAATAAATGAAGAGGACTTGGGTAACTTAAGCACGGAGTTTAGGTCTTTACCCAGTGCCATGCTGCCACAATCAAGGTCTTAAGAATTTGGCTAGATTTTACTCACTCAGTGTCCTATCCAGTGGAGCCCCCTGTCTATGTCCTGCTTTGCCCCCATCTCAAGACACCTTATGTAACCCTCTCCAGGCAGTTTCTATCTACTCTGTACTTCCCATCCCTCACCTGTTACAGCCCCAGAAGCAACCATAGCACGTAAAACTGCAAGGGAAGGAAGTGTGTCCAGAGAGTGGGAAGCTGCCTGGGCCTCACCAGTGCACATCTAGCTGGAGGCAGTTTGTGATGCAGGTGGGCTGGTGGGGGGTGGGGTGGGGACGGGCTTCACAGCCATTAAGTAGCAGGAGCTTCCAGAGGCTTTCCATGCAATGTCCAGATCCTTCACTGTCCTTCAGGAGAAAGGTTGGAAAAGCCAGTCATGATGGAGAGGCTCCATCTGCTGTCAGGGGAGGTCCTGAGCTGGCTGCAGAGGAGTCAGTACAGTCCTGTCTGGTAAGGGTTAGGGTTAGGGTTAGGGTTAGAGTTAAGGGTTAGGGTTTAGGGTTAGGGTTAGGGTTAGGGTTAGGGTTAGGGTTAGGGTTAGGGTTAGGGTTAGGGTTAGGCCAAGGGTTAGGCCAGAAGCAGTGGAAGTTACTGCCACTGAAGCCCAGCTGGAGAGAAAGCAGCTTTGCCCTTCTGCTCTTCCAGATGCCTTTGTTAGGGGAAGAAATTGGATCTGGCCTACTGTAGCTTAGCAAGTCTCTGGAACTGCAACTTCCAGAGCAGAGTGCTGAGGGTTGGCTGTGGTACCTTGGGTTCTTTATACTTCCCAAGCCCTCAGCATCATCCAGCCCCTTACAGAATCCAGAACAGTAAGTAAGTGGTCTGAGGGGGAAAAAGAAAAAAAACATAGCCAAACAGGTGGAAATTTGAATGGGGATAGCTCAGTGGCATGGCATCTTTGATTCCAGTTGGAAGTCCTGACTAGTGAGAGGGCAGGTAAGATTGCTGGAGCACATCTCCCCCACCCCTCAACAAAGTCCCTGCACTGCAAGCAAAAAAGAAAAAAATAGATGCTGTGGTTGTATGATTGGAGGTCCAGCATTTTTGGACCTATGTGGTAAGGGGCCACATGGCCATGAAAGTAAGGATGCAAGAACTCTGGACAGTTGCCCAAGTGGGAAATTGTTGGGTGCAGACTAGTCCCTGTGTCTAAGAAACACTGCTGAGGGGGTCAGAGTCATCTTGGTGTGGAATGCTCCCAGAGTTGAGGCTCTTAACATGGGGGCTCTGCCTGCTGTTCCCTGGGGCTTTAAGGGTGGCACTTCCTTTGGGAAGGGTCATCTCTACAAAGATGAGACTATGAGGACAACACAGGAGGCAGCTGAGGTGGATGACCCTCATACCTCTAAAGGTAGCAAGGACCAATTTCCTGCTGTGCCTGGGTAGAGCAAACCTGAGCTGCTCTGCCTATTCCAGGAAGTAGCAGTGAAATGTCACCTTCCTGTTGATTCTAAGGGACCAGGGTTGGTGTGGTAGTACTTGTGCTTGTCCTGAGATATCAGGGCTATCTTCCTATAAAGGAGGAATACTGGCTCTTTCTAGAAAGTTCCAAAGGTTCTGGAAGGAGCAGCAAAGCCCAATTCTAAATCATGGGTATCAGTCTTCTGAAGACCAGTCTGGGCACAGCAGAACCCCTGCCTCTCAGATGTCCACTGCCACATTACATCTGTAGTTCCATTTTTCTCTGCAGATCACAAGAAGTACTGCATGCTTTTCACAAAGTGGCACAAGAATCATGGGCATCATGTAAAGCTAAAAGAAGAAATTTAAGTTTACGGTAACCTCAGTACTATCAAACCAAGTTTTTCTGTGCATAGTTACCATTACAAAAAATAGAGAAATACAATTTTAAAAATTATTTTTATTTTTTAAATTTTTATGTGTATGAGTGTATTGCCTGCATGTATGTAAGTGCACTCATGTCATGCAATACCCTTGGAGGTCAGAAGAGGGTGACAGAGCCTCTGGAACTGGATACTGTGGTTGTTAGCTGCTTGGTGGGTACTGGGATTTGAACCTGGGTCCTCTGCAAGTGCAATCAGTGCTCTTAACTGCCGAGCCATCTTTCCAGCCCAAGATACAATTATTTTTAAAAACATAGCTGCACATTGTTTGATATCAAAGCCAGTATAAATACATCTACTCAGTCAAATTCCTGACCCTGTGCTGTCAGGGTAGCTGCTCCCAGAGTAGAGAGGGAGTGGAAAACTGCCCCCACCCCTCAGCTTTACCTGTGAAATTCAAGTTGGAGACAGCTGCTGTAGTTTTAGAGCTTTGCGTGGGAAAAGCAAGGTACCTTCCATCTCTGAGACCCAGGGGGAGTCCCTTGTGAGATCTTGGGGAAGGGAATGCCCCTGAGCAAACAGTCAATACAAAGGCCCTCACATGAGTTTATTCAGAGATCTTCCCTGGGCTGGCAAATTGGGAGCCTGGAAACGGATTTTACTCAAAATCTGGTGGGGCCAGGGGTGACTTTTGTCAGAAGGCTCCAGAACGTTCTGTGGTACCTGGATTAATACTGCTGCACATTCCTGTGGGGCCAGCCTCGGATCAGTGAGAAATATGAGGTGAGAGCCATCCCACATTGGGCCCCAGTGAGGGCAGAAGCAAGAGATAGGAGCAGGGGCTAAGGGTACTTGAGGAGCCTTGGTCATGAGACAGAGACACGAGGGTGTGTTCCAAGGCCTGGAGGCCGAAACACGGGCAGAATCCCTGAGGGTGAGGTAGTGTTAAAATCAGAACCCACAGTCTAGGGGGAAGGCAGGAGTTACCTGCGATGTGTGGGGCATGGCGGGGAGATTGCACACATGGAGAACCTCAGAAAACCCACTAAAGGCAACTTGGTCCTGATGCAGAACTATGTCTAGGACCTCTTCCACCTGCGTTGGAAAACCTTCAGATGATAATGTCCCTGGAAAGACCCAGGTTTGCCTGCTGCGTATCTCATTCCTGGGAAATTCTGTGGCAGTATCAAGCTAATACATTATACTTTGGAAAGTCTAAAAATACTATTTAATCCTTTTGATTCTCCGAACAGCTCTTTAGAGCAGGAGAGAAGGGACACGCTAAACCCAGGTTACCTGTTCTGATCAGGGGTCAAGGGAGCCCAACCCTGAGCTCCGCACAGCGGGAGGGAGAGTCGGACCTCCAGGGGCGGAGGTGGGATTTGGTGCACCGTGCCAGAGCAACAAACTTAAGGTCTGGGACTCGGGCCGTGGGCCCTGGGACCTCGAGAGGCCCAGGGTACGACCACACATAGAAGTGAACACCTCGGAGGACGGAGGACTCGAGGGGAGCGCGGCACCACCTTATCCAGAAGCAGACACCAGATGCAGGGACCGCTGAGATCCCAAGGGCGCGGGGCGGGCGAGGCTAGGATGCGCGCCCCCTGCCGCCTTTCCCCAGCTCCTGCGGCCCGGGGCGGGGCTGCTCGCGTGCTGGGGTGGGGCCTCCGTTCGCTGGGTCCCGCCGCCAGGTCCCCGACATGCTAGAGCTGACAGCTCCTGGCCCCCGCGGCTCCCTCAGCTGGCGCCGGAGCTCCGCGCCCCGGCTGCCTCCGGTAAGTGCCCCCGGGTCCTTGGGGAAGCCACTGTGAGATCCTCTGTCGCGGGGAACCCTTCCTCCCTCTTGCATCTCGAGGGCCAGAGCTGCTGGAAGTGGTAGGCACTCCTGGGGTCTTCTCTCTAAAAACCCGGGCCTTTGAGGGCGCCGCTGGTCAGCTTCCACGACTTGAAGACCTCAGTTTCCCCAACTGAAGTATTGCGCCCCCCTTCGATCTTGGGATGAAGATGAACCTACTAGCCCTGTTTTGTGGAGTCCTTTGCCCTGGACCAAATGTCTTTCAGAAGCGTTTTGGGCAGATGCTGACAGGGGGCTCCTTACAGGCTGCCTTAGCTCTCCCAGGGCTAGGGCACAGCGGGCAAAGCTGGTCAAGGTGGCGCAGTCTCTTCATTGAGATTAGAGGGCACCGAGCTGGGACTCACTTTGGAGGGAATTCTACCGTTCCAGGAATTTGCCTAGTTAGTGGTACCAGATTATATCCCCACCCCAACCCCCTCCAATCTTGAGTGGCGGAAAATCCCAGAAAGTGGCTACTTTCACAGAGGAACGAAAGTTCTGATGTTCCTGGACATCTGAATGTCACAGACCCTGGAGTCCCCTGCCCTGCGTTGCTGCTGTAGATAACTACTCTCCCTGTCCCCCAGAGCTCCTGCATGTGGTCCAGGCCTTGCACAGTTCTGGCCTATGGGTCCCTCTTCAAAGGCCTCTGTTTCTCATTTGGTTCCAGGTTTTTGGTTCAGGGGATCTATCAAGCTGTGGCTACCCCAAGTTCTGCCATTGGGGGGGGGGGGCTGTGGTTCTTAGCTTCCCAGGACTGTGTCCAGCCAAAGGCTCTGCTGTAGGTGGAGTACCTTGGGGAGTGTACTCCAGAGCTTGAGGTAGTGGATAGTGTAATTAGACTTTTCCTGGTCTGGTCAGGGGATCCATGGTAGGAGACATCCCTGGCATCAGAGCTGGGTCCACTACTGCTGACCACAGGTAGGTGGCCTGCCTTGGTATGACACCTTGCCATAATGTGCAGTGGCTGTCCTTGTCATGGCCAAGTGCATGGCCAAGTGCTGATTATTCCAGGCTGGGATCCTAGTTCAGTCGGTGCAGCAACTCCATGGGGGAGGGGTACATTGGGGTACACAACTTGCCATGCCTCAGCAGGACTGGCAATGCGTGTGTTCAGAACAAGTATGTGTCTTCCACCCTGCCTTGGTGGTAACTCACTGTAGTCCTGGGGTTGTCAGAAATGCAAGCGTAGGAAGAAAACTGGGGAGTGTTGCTGCTGTTGGTTGTGGGGAGATGCACACCAGGGAATGGTTTGGGTTTGTTTGCTTGTTTGTTTCCGTTTTCTACTTATCTCTGTCTTCTAAAATGAACAGGTGTTACTTTGCCTGAGAAATGTGGTCAGTTTATGGCTCAGTGAGCAGGAAGCCCAGAGGCCAGAGGGCAGGTCCTGATGTCAGCACAGGCATTCCTCTGAGGAGAACTACATATTTGTTGTTCATGGCCCCATGACTCAGTCCATAACTGCAGAAGGGACCAAGAGTCCATTTTGGAAGCCCCCCCCCACCAGTCTTCATCCAAGAGGTGTCCCCTACCTGCTTCTGAGGTATGGAAAGGGGGCAACAATTGGGCATGAGGGGCATCTGTAGGGAATCTGTCTGACCCCTCAGTGAATGACACACAGCATTTGGTAAAATAGAATGACTACTGACACTAACACTATGCTTAAGACATATGCAGAGACCAAGGTAAAGGTTAAAACTGAAAGCAGATGTTAGAAGAGACTTTGAAGAGACTAGCTGTGGGAGACCAACAAATTGGCTCTTTGTTTCTCCTGCTATGAGAGCATAGCACAGCATTTATCAGTTCTTGGTGCTTTTTGCAAGAAACTGAATTTTAGGACCGTTCCTCAGCACTAAACCGAAGACATTCAGGAACATGTCCCAGGCTACAGCTATCACCATCAAATGGCTATGTATGGGGCTGAGCAGGCTTATGCCACACCCAGATCTTGGCCCTTCCTGCAGTTCCTGCAGTATGATGTAAAAGAGTGAGGGTGGTCAGCACTGCCCTTTAGAGTGGCCTCTACTCTCCCAAAACTCCTTGGTTACTCTCTATCCAGCCTTTTCAGAGCCATTCCTGCCTTAGGGCTCATTTGGTCATGAGGCTGGTAAAGCTGGTGCTGGTGGAGCTTGGTCTCTTCTAGATTGTAGGGTTAACCCCACTTCTTTTACTTTCTTTGACCTGGAGGGTGTTCCAGTGGGTATGCTGTATGTATGGCCCTCTGTGGGTGCTAGGAAGTGCCCCTGGCCTGTTTCCCCAGGCTAGGGCCAGGCCTGGGTGTGGCTTCGGAGTTTCCTGTCTGAGTTGAAAGTCCTTGCAGCCCCAATAGGATGGCCTTGTGTTCTGGCCTCTAGCCACTGCTTGCCCAACCTGGTTTCTTGGAGAACTGCGCTAACTGGACACGTGGCCGGACATAGGCTGAGGCCAGCATCCAGCAGGCCTCCTTGGGAAGGCAGGCCTTCTGAATGTCACTCCACATCGTCATCCCCTCCATCTCTCATGGTGTCTGTCCCTGCTCTCTCTCATAGCTACGGCTCACCACCCATCCATCTATCCATCCATCCAAGCCTTCCTGCCCCCTATCCCTACTCCTTTAGGTATCTTCCTCTTCAGCCTGAAGATTTTTCTCTAACCTCACAGCTCCTGTGGCTTTCTGCCCTTGCCTGTTCTTTATATTGTTAACTTGTAATAGTTTTTTGTATGTTTGAGATGCTAGGCCCATACCTGATGTGAGTTGCCAGTGTTTTCTCCCATTCTGTCTGTTGTCCTTTTACTTTCTTGATAGTGTACTTTGAAACAATTTTAAAGTTTGATGAAATCCAATTTATCCCTGACTTTTTTTTTCACTTGTGCCTTTAGTGCCAAATTTAGAACATTGTCAGATCTAAGGCCATGAATGCTTATGTTATTTTTGTTTACTATAATCCTTATGCTTCTAAGTATGTTGAAATTTTAGCTTTTACATTTAGATCTTTAATGAATATTGAGTGATTTTTTTTCAAATGATATGAATAGGGTCCAGACTCAGTCTTTGGCATGTGGATATCATTTGTCTCAGCTCCATTTATTGAAAAAACTGTCTTCCCCAGAATGGCCCCGGAACTGTAGTTGAAAATCCGCAGCCCACAGTATGGCCAGTCTTGTGTCACATGTTCTCTCTTCTTAAAGCTTTAAAAAATCCATTTATTTATTATATTTTATTTATCATTTTTATTTTATGTGTATGAGTGTATCGCCTGCATGTATGTGAGTGCACCCGTGTCGTGCAATGCCATGGAAGTCAGAAGATGGCGTCGGATTCCCCTGGAACTGGAGTTAAGGATGGTTCGTAGCTGCCATGTGGGTGCTGGGAATTGAACCTGGGTCCTCTGCAAGAGTAGTCAGTGCTCTTAACTGCTGAGCCATCTCTCCAGCCCCCCTTATTTATTTTTAACACAAGCTCGTGCTATATAGCTGAGACTGGTCTTCAACTCAGGCTCCCATTGCCTTATACTCCAAGTGCTGGGATTATAGATGTGCACAACCAAGCTCAGATCCCACACCTTTTAAAATCTTTTTATTTATTATTTTTATTTTATGTGTATGAATGTGTTGCCTGCATGTGTGTAAGTGCACCTGTGTCATGCAGTGCCTGTGGAGGTCAGAAGAGGGTGTCAGATCCCCTGAAACTGGAGTTAGGCACAGTTGTTAGCTGCCATGTGGGTGCTGGGAAGCAAACCCGGGTCCTCTGTAAGAGCAGTCTGTGCTCTTAACCACTGAGCCATCTTTCCAGCCCCACCTTTTAAAATCTTTATACAAACTATTTTATTTTTATATTCATTTGTGTGTGTGTGTGTGTCTGTCTGTCTGTCTGTGTCTTTGTCTGGGTTTGCGAATGTGAGTACAGTGCCCACAGAAGCTAGAAGAAGGCATTGGATCCCCTGGAGCTGAAGTTACAGGCAGTTGTAAGTCACTTGAAGTGGATGCTGGGATGTGAACCCAAGGGCTCTGCAGGAGCAGTAAGTGCCCTTAACCACTGAGCCAGCTCTCCAGCTCCTCCTAAACGTTTTATTAAGGAAAATTTCAAGTCTTGTACAAAGATGGAGAGAATTGTATAATGAACCCACCATGCTCATGAGCCAGCACAGATGGCTAATTATCAATAGTGATAGATACACAGTTTCATTTGAGTCCAACCCAGGTCATCTATCCACCCCAGTTACAGAGAAGTA